ATACGTACGGAGAATATTGTTAATTATACATATGACAAGTTCCACCATATCATTCTGTTGGGATGTGTAGGGGCATGAGAAACAAACACATATGTCGTGAGAATGAAATTGATTTAGAAGAGATTGATTTCTATATTCACAACCATTATCACATAGAACACATTGAATTTCGAAATTAAATTGTGTTTTAATATAAGCTTGGAAATTGCAAAACATAGAGTAAACATCAAATTTAGCACGAATGGGAAAGACCCACAAAAAGGAGAATAATCATCTAATAAAGTATATAGTATTCGAAACCACTAATCCTAAACCGGAGAAGTCCACAAATCGGAATGTCTTAATTTAAACAACTTAGATGTCTTTGCTGATGAAGACCGAAACAGAAGATGACAATGCTTTCCTAGTTGACATGCATGCTAGACAGAAAATTTATTTGAAGAAGACGTTATAAAATTGCAAGACTATAAAAACTTCAAAATTGAAGGGTCGGGATGCCCGAAGCGACGATGACAGGTAGGGAGAGACACAATAACGAGACAAGTAGCAGAGGAATGTGAAGAAGATTGAGTAATGGGATAGAGACACAATAAGGAGACCAGTAGCAGAGGAATGTGAAGAAGACTGAGTAATGGGATAGAAATCTTCAGTATTACCACAACGCTGGAGGAGGGCACATGAATCAACATCCTTAACGAAAAAACTAAACGGTCAAACGTAACAGAAATAGAGTTGTCAGTGGTAAATTTATGAACCACACAAGATCTTTAACGATTTTGTTAGACAAAAGAATATGTTTTAGCATAAATTTATTTTGAGAGAGGAGAGAAAGAGTGACCTGTGTGACTGACCGGAAGCAAAGCACCATTACCAACTATTATGGAATTAGAATTACACAGAGTAAGGGAAAGCATGTTACCTTGAGTAAATGACCTATGAGAGATTGTACCGGTGTCGATGTAGAAAATATTATCCGGAGGTGGTTGTACACACATTTCTTGAAAAATGGAGCTGAGATCGGTCATTTTTGAAGATGGAGTCGGAGATTTGGACCTTGGCTGCCAAAAAAATTGTTAACTGCTATGGATTATGACCGAGGCCAACATGATTGTTTTGTGTGAAATGGGGATGTCCGTGAGGCTGTTGCTAGATCGAAAAAGGAGAATGGGCCGACCGTAGAAACTAGTCCGGTTGGAGATGATGAACAGAATCAGCTGGTGGGCCGATGGTGCTCCAAAGCTTGATGGACTGAGAGAATTTGAGCCGAAAGGAGCATAAGGCTAGTACAATGGAGTGCCGATTCCCAAAACCTATTGAGAAGCTTGAAAAAAAATCTTGATTTTTTGGAGTATGCCTGCATAATGAGATCGTTGACCCGAAATATTTCTCGTAACTTGATTAGTACTAACATACAAACTAGAATTATCCCTCTAGAGGCAACCCGATTGTTATTCCGGTTTTGTTCCACAATGTTGTTGTATGAACGCAACAATTGGCGTAAGATTTGCATAACAAGCTCAATTTCTATAATCTCATAGTCGAAATTAGACAATGCATCAACTAGATTCTTCAAGGTGTGGTAGAATTCGGTAATTGAGAATGCACCCTTTTTTGTATTTTTGAATTGATCTTGCAGTTAGAACATGCATGACATTTTGTTGTTGAGGAAAATTTGTCCAGCTCATCCCAAAGATCTTTGGTAGTACAATTATCACGTGATATAATTTGAAGCAGATTTGGATCAACTGTAGAGTAAAAGCCAAGACTTAACAATGGAATCCCAATCTTCATCATCATCGCCTGTTGGTTTTGATTTCCACTAATATGACCCACAACTTTGGCACCTCTACAAATATCAATAAGGATTCTTCGCCAAAGTTTGTATTTTGATCTGTCCACAGTTAGTTTAAAATTGAATTGATTATATACATTAGTCACCGCATAGATAAGCATTTAAGCGGTTGGGAAATTGGTAGAGGATGAGCCCGAGATGGACATAATTCCGAAAATATAAAAACTCGTGAAATAAAAAACAACAAAATAACAAGATGAAGCTTACTATGGGCAGGAAGAGGGATTGTAGGCGTATGGAGCATCAATCCTAGACGTCGTGATGATGAGAGATTTCGAGAACATAGAAATAGTAAGCAACGACGTCGAGTGAAGGTCGATGATGGAGTAACACCGGTGATTGTTGTTCGGTGGAAGCAGTCACAAGAAAAACTTGATGTAACAGATTGTGATAGAGCCAATAACAATTGGATATGAACCCAAGATACTTGGAACACAAGCAAAACATCATGTACGATTGGTTGGGGATGATCGATTGCTGGAACAAAGAAGGAGACATTGGGAAAAAAGAGTTTACGTATCAAGAAGGAAGGATACGTATGAGGCTTGATAGCATGTTTGATGGTGAAAATACTCGTTAGGGTTTTAGTGTATTCCATCTCTATAAATAGTATAAACATGTATACAATATTTACAATAAGGAGCCGACACTACACATGAGATAAAAATAAATCATAAATTAACATTAGGCATGAAAATTATATGTGATTGAAAATCGAGAAAATTGTTCTTATCATAGGAGGAGTATCTTGAAATTGTGATCAAAAGGTTCAACATGAAAAATGTCACGCCCGTTGATACACCATTGAAAAATCACTTTAAGTTGAGTAAGAAAATTTGTCCTTTTGATAAAGAAAAAACAAGATGAAAACAATCCCTTATTCCCCAGTTGTAGGAAGCCTTATGTATGTGATAATGTATACACGACCTGATACCACTCATGTCATTGGTGTTGTGAGTAGACATCTAGGAATTCCGGGAAAGTATATGCGTATATCAATCCAGGTTATATAAGTGTTTGTAATTATCAACAACGGAAGCCAAGTACATGGCCGCAATTGAAGCTTGGAAGGAGATTATATGGCTAAAACGGTATCTTCGAGTATTAGGGTTTCCACAACAAGAGGACATCGTTTATTATGATAGTCAGAGTGTTATGGACTTGATCAAGAACTTTATGTACCATTCCTTCATAAAACACATTGATATACGTTATCACTAGCTCAGAGAAGCAATCGAGGGAAGAAAATTAAAGTTATCAAAGGTCAACACAAATGACAATCTTGCAGAAAAGTTGAACAAGGTGGCGACACAAGAGAAACACAAACTATGTGTCGACATAGATGGATTGAGGATTGTTAAATGGAGACCGGAGGGGGAGATTTGTTGAGTTCCAACCTCCATTCTAGATACCCTCCTTTGTTGACAAAAGAAAATGGCAACTTCTTCTTTTGACATGATGAACACAATAAATGGAGAGGCTAAAACGGTGGCTACCATGGCTATAAATAGAGGTTCCAACCATAGTTTGTAAATACATCCCAAACAAACATAGTTAGATCATAACACTAGATTGAGAGTGTTAGAAAGAGGTTTGTTTTTATTTTGTAATAATGGAGTGTAAAAGTTGTTCTTATTGTAATTATTTTCTTGTATCAAATATGAGAGTTTTTCAATACCAATCATTTTGTCTATTTTTTGAAAAGTGGTTGATGAGAGTAGATATATTTGTCTTTTTCTCTATTTAATATTGTTACTTTTTTTTTTAATAAAGTTGTTTCAATAATATAATAACTAATTATATAAGAATATTTATTTTAATTATAAATGTATATAATAATATAATTTATAAAGCTATTGTAAAGAAATATGTATGCTAATTTTATAAAAGGCTAATAAATACAAATGTTGTTTTCAACTGAAAGTTACTGAAAGAGGAATATACTTAAAATATTATTTTTTATGTTAAATATAGTGCAATGCGTTAGTGTATCGGGTGCGACATAGTTTTTTTGTCTTTATATATGTTGAAGTCTCTCTCTCTCTCTCTCTCTCTCTCTCTCTCTCCCCACAACGGTTCTTTTGGAGAAACAATCTTGGGCTCCACATATTGTTTATATGGTATCAGAGTCGGCGTCTTCATCCCAGTGGCTTAACATATCCTTTTCTTACTCATCGAACCTCCTTCTCTGAGGGGGAGTGTTAGTATATCACACATTGGTATGATATGGTCCCTTATGTTTCTATATATATGTTGGAGTCTCCCTCTCTCCTCAAAGGCTCTTTTGGAGAGAGAATCTTGGGCTCCACATATGTTTACATAACGGTTCAGAGAAAATTTATCGTTTATGCTATCTTTTACACCACTTTTATCAATTTGAGTGTAAAAGATAGTGTTAAGGGTGGAGTTGGTCTTAGGGGTCCTAAATTTTGCTCAGGACATGTAGAACATGGACAGTGGGTGTTGTTAGACACATGTGATTGGCATAAACAGAAAAAAGAAAAGTTGTTTGATAGGAGTCGATGAGTTATAATTTTGTTCATAGATGTGATTGCATTATTGAAGTTCTTGGATGTCTTTTACGAATTTAAGTTTTAAGGGATAGTTTACTCAAACTTTTGATTAGCTTTAAGTGCACTTTTCTTGATGCAATATTTTGTGTATTTTGATCAGTTATCAGATAGAAGCTCTGGAGCAAGCAATAAAACAGAACACAATAGTGTTCTTGGAGACTGGATCAGGCAAAACATTAATTGCTATTATGCTTCTACGCCACTATGCTTACCTGTTGCAAAAACCATCACCTTTCATTGCAGTTTTTTTGGTACCCACTGTTGTATTAGTCAAACAGGTTAGACCCTTACCATATTTCTTAATTTTTTGCACACAATATGCTTTCTTTCTTTTTTAACTACAATCATGAGAATTTGTATCCCTCATTGCTGTATAGCAAGCTGATAGTGTTAGAAAACATGTTGATCTGAAAGTGGAAGAATACTGGGGGGAAAAAGGTGTTGATCTTTGGAATGCGGCTGATTGGAAGAAGCAACAAGATGAAAACCAGGTATAAAAAGTCAACATTTATTGACCAGTATAAGTTTTTGACGAATGATCATGTTGCAGCTACTGGTGATGACACCTCAAATTTTACTTAATGCTTTGAACCGTGGTTTTTTAAGCTTGGATAACATCAAGCTTCTGATATTTGATGAATGTCATCGTGCAAAGAAAAAATATGAGTACGCTCTTATTATGAAGGTGTGTTATGTTTTTATTACATCTTATGTTAATTTTAGGATGATCATATTGTATTAATATTAATTTTCTAAATGTGAAAATCATTTATATATATATATATATATATATATATATATATATATATATATATATATATATATATATATATATATATATATATATATATATATATAGGAGTTTTATCACCCCCGGTTACGCGATGGTGGTTCTCAGCTTCCTAGGATACTTGGGATGACAGCTTCACCTGTGGAAGCTAAAGGTATTAAAATTAAAATTTATTTTTATTGTTTTGTTTTCTTAATTAGTGTGATCCTAATTAGCTTGTTTTTTGTATTGTAGTGTCAAGCTCACCCAAGGATTATTGGGAAAAGATGAACAAACTTGAGACTATGTTGAATTCAAAGGTTTTTAAAGAAAATTTCACATTTTTGTTCAAACATTTAAACTAGTTATTTGATTATAATGGCATAATAATTAAGTAGTATATTTTTTTAATGAAGGTGTATACGTGCTCAAGTGAATCTGTGTTATCTGACTACATTCCCGTTTCTACTGTTAAGATTAAGTTTTACAAAAACATGGCACCTCCTTACCATGTTCTTGAGGAGTTAAAAAACACTCTTTCAATTTTAAGACAAAAGGTAACCTTTACTGGTTTAATTTGACTTTGAAATATTTATCAAATTTGTATTGTTAACAAATACATATGTTACTCCACAGCATGAATCAAAAGTCAGTATAAGTTCAACTCTCTCAGAATCTTCAAGGCAAAATGCCATTAAAAGATTGTCCAATTTGTATTCAACTTTTGAATTTTGCTTAGACGAATTGGGCATTTTCTTGGCTTCAAAGGTGTGTTTTCAAACTACTAATCTTTTCTTGCAAACATAGAAACAGAAAATGACCTTTTTACCCCTTGTAACAGGCAGCCGAAGCATATTCATGCGACAAAAATGACCTGTTTTTATGGGGGCAACTGGATGTACGTGGAGAAAATATATCCAGGGAATTTTGCAAAGATGCCAACAAAGTTTTTTGCTCATACATACCTAATGGTACTTAATATAACATTCTTTATAAATTAATCTTTAGAAAAAACTTTTTCTTTTTTCTTCAAACTATCTTTTTTGGCGATTTCCAGAATGGTCAATCACTCAAGTCAACGAAGCAACTGTGAGCATTGGGTTGCTCTCAACAAAAGTCGTCTGTTTAATCGAATCTCTTCTGGAATACATGTATATGCTCTCGCTAATGTTGTGGCCATTGTACTCTATATCTATCTACCAATATCTGTAATTTTTTTTTATATATAAATTTATTGTAGGGATGTGAAGGAAATGAGATGTTTAATCTTTGTTGAAAGGGTGGTAACAGCAAGGGTATTAAAAAGCTTACTGTGTGAATTGCACTCTAAACTTTTTGACTGGAAAACAGAATACGTAGCTGGGAATAATGCTCTTATTCAGTCACAAAGCCGGGGTGTACAAAATAAAATAGTGGAAGAGTTCCATAAAGGAATGGTATGTATGTCTATATTTAATGTTATAGTCAAAGTGCATGTGTTAAAATTAAACATAATTTGTGATATATACAGGTAAACATCATTGTTGCAACATCAATTCTTGAAGAAGGCTTGGATGTGCAGAAATGCAATCTTGTAATAAGATTCGATCCTGCATCTACTGTTTGCAGTTTTATTCAGTCTAGAGGTCGTGCTCGAATGCAGGATTCTGATTTTCTTTTATTGGTTAAAAGGTATAAGTTTTAATGATAGAGTTGTTTCTCATTTTGATGTGGTGTTTGTGAAATATGTTATTTATTTATTTTATTTTTTGATGATTTTTAGTGGGGATGATGATACGTTGAATAAGGTGAATAATTACCTTCGGAGTGGAAAGATCATGCGGGATGAGTCTTTGAGCCATGCTTCTGAACCATGTGGGCCCCTTGAAAAAGACTTGTATGATGAAGTGGTGTATCATGTTGAATCCACAGGAGCGACTTTAAGATTGAGTTCGAGTATTTCCATGGTTTATTTCTATTGTTCCAGGCTACCTTCTGATGGGTTTGCTCTTAACTCTTGGATGCTTCTATCGTTATTATTTTTTACATTTTAACAAAATGGAAGGAAAAAGATATAAGATAATATAAAAAAGGACCAAAATGAGCGGGGTCTTTTTTAACAAATAACGCAATTGCATTGAGAAATTGTTCATATGTTGTGAAATGGTGATGCCATTTTGCAATATATATATATATATATATATATATATATATATATATATATATATATATATATATATATATATATATATATATATATATATATATATATATATATATATATATATATATATATATATATATATATATATATATATATATATATGAAATTAAAAAAAAAAAAAAAAGTCTTTTTGCAGCCTTATGTTAGTAAAATGTAATTTCGGAATTGTAGGGAACCCGAATTTCGCACGTGTTCATTTTGTTAAGAGGGTAAAAAAGTAGTCAATTTGTTAAATGCGACCAATAATTTTGGTCATTTTTGCGATTATCCCAAATAATAATTGAGGTCAATTTTTTTAAAGGTTAGTTTTTAATGGAAAAACATCATTTTCATTAATTTTTTTATTAAGTTGTTTTTTGTATAGAGTGAAAAAGAAACGTCTGTATATAGTTTAGCTAAGTCCATTAAGTAAAAAATAAACAACATGTTACTCTGTCCCATGAAAAATACAATGTTTGACTTTAAGATCTTTCTTTGAGTATACGTTCGAAAATAAAATACTAAAAGACAATATAGACGAATGTTGCTGATTTGTTACAAGTTTCATGTGATGTGGGAAGTATAATTTACACCCATCATTTTATCTTCATTTTTAATGACTTTATGCTTATTTTCTTACTATTCTATCACTTGTAGGTATTTTAAACCTTACCCAAGATTCGTGATTGACAAAGAATTAAGAACTTGCACTATCTATTTTCCTAAAAGCTGCCCACTTCCAAGCGTGAATGTTTCGGGCCCCACAAAAATGCTGAAGCAACTTGCATGTTTTGAAGCATGTAAGCAGTTGCATGCAATGGGCGAACTAACGGACAATCTTATCCCTGATACATTTAAAAAATCAGCTGATGATGAACAAGAAACCGGTAAAATACTAACATTTAATTTAATTCACAATCTCTATCTACTTAATTCATTTTTTAATTCACTATTTTTTTAACAGGAATTAAGTATGTCGAAGAACAAGTTCAATACATACCACCAGAGCTTGTTGGATTTGGAGATAATTCAACTAACTTATATTATTTTTACAAAATCAATTTAGAAAAACATTTTGAATATGAGATTCCACTAGAAGATATTGTTCTTGCAGTAAGCACAAAGTTAGAGTTTGACAATGAAGGGTTGACCTTTGATCTTGAATCCCATAGAGGAGACATTTCTGTTTCTTTGACTTATATTGGAACGTGTAAGCTTACTTCTGAACAGGTAATACAAAATTTTAGAATTTTTTTATAAATTTTCTTGCCATTAATATTATCGTTACAATATTGTTTTTTTTTTTTTTTTTGTTTCTTCCAGGTAACTTTAACGAATCAGTTCCAAATGTTGGTGTTGACACTACTTATTCACCGGTCAATTCCGAAGTTGAAAACGTGTGTTGATTCGTTTAAATTAAAAAACGTTGCTGACATGGTATATGACTACCTGTTACTCCCGTCAGCGGGCCCACATAAAGCTCCAATGATTGTGGAGTGGAAGGCTGTTAAGGCTGCTATGTTCTCCTATGAAAGAGGTGTAGGCGAACATATGTGTTGTCTAAAGGGAAATAATCATGAAAAAGTGCACATAAAAAGTGGATTAGTATGTAGTTGTTTAGTGGAAAATTCTTTAGTGTATACCCCTCATAATGGGCGCATATATTGCACTACTGAAAGATTACTTGGTTTGAATGGCAATTCGACCTTGGAAATAAAAGAAGGGGAAGTTGTTACCTATAAAAATCACTACAAAAGACGGTATTTGATTTTTGAATATTGATTCACACTTATTAATTTTCTTTTATTTATTATTCTGGATAAGTGTAAAATTAGTTTGTTAAAAAAAACGCAGACATGGAGTTGACTTGATGTTCGAAAAAGAACCGCTTTTTGCTGCTAGACAACTTTTTACAGTTCAAAATTTTCTTCAAAATGGGAGACAACAGAAGGAAAAAGGTTTGTTCTTTTTTCTTGTTATGTTTAATTATTAGCAAGGGTAAGTATTATATGAGTTTATTTAAAAGAAAAATTAAATATGAAATTCTAAATATTTGAAAAGTTTGAATTTATAAGAAAAATATGAAAAATATTGAATTTTAAAATTAAAATGTTTTTTTTTTCTGTTTTAAATTAAAAAAATAATTTAGATAAATAAATAAATGAAACTACCGATGCTAATTTAGAAACTTTGAAATTAAAAAAAAAAAAGTTAATTAATGAAAATGATATTCATTAATTATTGCATTTATTGCAATAATTATTGCATTTAAATATTATGTGGAATTTAATAAAATGGAAAAACCATAAAATGATATGAAAAAAAAACTAATTTAAATAACCACAAAATGACATATGGCAAAATGAATGAGAATGTGACATGTGGCAAAAAAGATTTTTATTTATTAGAATACATTTATTTATTATTATAAACAAAATTTAGAGTAAATTACATTCTTGGTCCCCGAGTTTAGCTGATTTTGGCTCAAAACGTTATTTCTTACACTTTTGGTCCTTATTTAAATTAACAGCTTGAAGCTGGAGTTAACATTTTAAGGACCAAAACTGCAAGAGAAGTTTTGGGGACTGAAAATGCACAAAAAAAAAAACTAAACTCTAGGACCAAAAATGTATTTATGTCGGAATTTATATACTTATTTTTATTTGTTGTTATGCTTATTATTGTTTTGTTTATTTGCAGAAACAAGTAATGCAGGAGTTGCGCTGCCATCTGAACTATGTGACATCATCTTGTCTCCTGTTTCTATAAGCACCATTTATTCTTTCTCCTTTGTTCCATCAATCATGCACAGGATCGAGTCGTGGATGATTGCTTTGAATTTGAAAAAGATGCATTTATTTCATAGCATGCCAAATGCAGATGTTCCTGTCATTAAGGTATTCATTTCATTACCCTTCTTTTATTCATTTCACTATCCTTCTCCTTATGTCATTCTGTTGTTGGCTCTTTATAGGTTTTGGAAGCTATCACAACAAAGAAATGTGTAGAAAAGTTTCATCTGGAATCCTTTGAGACTCTAGGCGATTCTTTTCTTAAGTATGCTACTACTCAACAATTGTTTAAGACACTTCAAGATCAACACGAGGGAATTTTGAGTTCAAGAAGAGAGAAAATTATATCGAATGACTCGTTATGCAGATTGGGATGTAACTGTAATCTTCCGGTAATGTCTCTTTTTATGTCTTATTCAACTCATCTAAGATAAGGGTATTTTGGTAATTAGTGATGGGTTTTGGTCATAAGACATCCTATGTGCTCATACAAACCCTAATGCTCGGATCTAGGTTTCTCTATTGTACATGCTTTGAATCCAAGACTATAAACCCTAATTCTAGCATACAAGTAATCATATTAATATGTAATTAGGTTTAAGATCATACCTTGATTGTTATGTAGCAATAACAATCCTAATTCCTCCTTGAATTGACTTTGGAAGGCTTAGAGTCACAAGTGTCACTCCTCTAATGGTTCACAAACACCATAAGCAAGAGGATGAAGAGGAGAGAGGTTGGAGGCTGCCAAAAACGTGTGTAAACCCTTACAAGAACATTAGCCACGTTTTTGAGCCTTAAGGGGTCTTTATATAGTTGGGCTATTAGGGTTATCTAACAAGGAAACCCTAATTTGGATGCTTAAGCCCTAAGCAACCCATAGACTCCTTTTATCAAGCCCATGGACGATTTCCTTATGGGTTTCCCATTAGAATTCGTCCATCCCTTAATACAAGGCAATCCATGGCCCAAATTGCAATTATCCTATAATTACAATTCCAGTCCCTTAAGTTTAATTAATCTCTTTTAGTCACAAAACTAATTACCAATTAATTATTGACTAATATTAATTAAACAATATGATTTCTCCTTTAATATATTATTCCCATAATATATTAATAAATCATATTTAATCCTTACTCTCCATAATTCATCCTATCAAGTTGTTTTGGTGAAGGCAACCCAAAAGGACCATGCACCATCGGGTCAAGTACATACCAAAATAGTTATGGACTTAGACACTAATCCAACAATTAGTTATTGTATTCAGGGGTTTATCCGTAATGAGCCATTCGAGCCAAAAACATGGATTGTCCCCGGAGATCGTTCAAGCAACTTTAAATTGGAGGAAGAGATTCTATCGGACGAGAAAAAAATGTATATCAGGGGCAAAAGGGTAATAAAAAGGAAAGTAGTGGCGGATGTTGTGGAAGCATTAATTGGTGTTTTTTTAAGTGAAGGAGGTGAGATGGCAGCCTTATCTTTTATGAGATGGATCGGTATTTCGGTTGACTTTGTGAACACACCGTATACACGAGCCTCGACTTTGCATCCAGAAAAATATGTAAACATTCAGTACTTTGAGTCGTTGCTAAATTACTCGTTTAGAGACGTTTCTTTACTTGTTGAAGCACTAACTCATGGGTCTTACATGCTACCCGAGATTCCAAAATGTTACCAGGTTTGCTTCCCAAAATAACATCCTACTTTCTTCTATTTTTTATTGTTATCATTCTACTTACAAATTTTTTGAAATTGTGTGAAGCGTTTGGAGTTTCTTGGGGATGCAGTGTTGGATTATATGATCACAGTGTATTTGTACAATAAATATCCGGGAATGTCTCCTGGAATGTTGACTAATATGAGGTCAGCTTCTGTCAATAATGATTGTTATGCACAATCTGCGGTAAAATATGATCTACACAAACATATTCTTCATGGATCTCAAGATCTTCACCGAGCTATTGTCACAACTGTTCATGCATTTGATCAGTTGTCCATGAAAAGTACTTTCGGGTGGGAGTTTGAGACCTCATTTCCTAAGGTCAGTGATCTTTTGTAGTTAACATGTTTAAAACATTGGGCAAATTGTGTGAAATAGCACTCTTTTTACCAATATGGGCAATGTACTTGCATTTCTCAAATCATAATTTCAGCATACTTACATTTTTTACTGATAGTAGCATTATGCAACCCACAATAGCAATGCACTTACATATATACATTTTTATAATTCTTTAATGATAATAGCAATTACGAGCAGATAAAGTACATTAGCGAAATGTAAGTAAGTTAATATCATTGGTAAAAAATAAAGTGATGTTGCTATAATTTGTAAGAAAAGTAAGTATGTTTGGATTATGAGTAATAAATATAAGTATACTGCTATTATGGGTGAAAATAAAGTACATTGTCCATATTGTTAGCGAGAATAAAGTATGTTTCTATTATGGGGAAAATAAGTACATTGTCTATACTGTTAGGGAGAGTAAAGTACATTGTTGCTAACCAATCTGACACTGTCTAATACTGTTTTAGAACTTTATGTTACTTTTTTTGCATACAATTTACTGTTTGTGTGGGGGTATTATTGTAAATAGGTACTTGGAGATGTAATAGAATCTATAGCCGGGGCGATTCTTGTAGATTCTGGATACGATAAAGATAAAGTTTTTCAGAGTATTAGGCCTCTTCTGGATCCCTTAGTCACACCCGAGACACTAAAACTGCATCCAGTGAAGGAGTTGCATGATATTTGTCAAAAAAATCACTTTGAAATGAAAAAGTCAGCTAAGCATGGTACTACCGATGATGATACCATCTCTTTCACTATAGAGATAGTAAAAGACAATATTGTCCTTAAAGATTCTTGCATGGCTGCTGACAAGAAAATGGCCGAAAGACTTGCGTCAAAGTCTGTTTTGAAGTTGCTTAAAGAGTATATGTTAGCCGCATGATAACATTTTTTTGTTGAAGTTGTTTTCGAGGGGTGTGGGCTTGAATGTTTTTAGAGATGTTAGTTTTTTTTTTTTTTTTTTTTTTTTTTTTTTTTTTTTTAGAGACTAAATTAAAAAAAATTATCCCTGTGCTTTTTGATTTTTACAATGGATAGGCTAAAACTAAGACACTTTTCAGTTTTGGTCTTTGTTTCAAGGTTTTGTATCGATTTTAGTCCTTGAACTAGAAAGTCCAAATGACCAAAAGTGACATGAAACGAAATAAGGATAAAAATTGAAAAAAAAAATGGTAAATAGCAAAAAGCACACGCACCATTTTGGTAAACTACTCTTGCCTTTATTTTGCTGGTAGTTAGTTGTTATGTGTGTACAATAACTCAAATGCTTTATAAGCCCTTAATACCATCATTTTTGTTGTTGTCGGCCCTTACAATGCATGTTTTATGCCTTTTCAGGCATAATCATAGAAAAATACAGATTTCTTTATATCAATCTACCAATTTGTGACCATTTTTTTAAGGGTTTAATGCCATAAATTGATTTTTTATTATTAAGAAAGCATGAATTATATAACTAAGACAAAATACTAGAGAGGTGTTATAAGACTATACGGTGTGGGTAAAAAACGACGAGGAGGAGCCTACATGGCACCTCCATAACGCCGTTAAGACGGGAGGAACACCTCCCACGCTTCTAGTTATGGCATAACTCGTTGCCACAGAAACGCAGCTTAACGGGAGAAAGCAACCAAGGGGATTTTGACGGTTTCTTTTTCTTTAAACACATCTCCCTTATCCCTTTCTTTTCCTTTATTATTTACTTACGGTAAATTCCAAGGATCATCCATATGGTTTGGGGTAATTTGCATGTTTGGTCCCTCAAAACTTTTTTAACTCGGACAGTGCTTATGTTTTGATTTTGTTGCGTCTATGGTACCTATCAGACATGTAATTACTATATTACCCTTACTAAATTTTCTTTTTAATTTATTTATAATTATTTTTATCTACTCTAATAAATAAAGATCTTTTTGTCATATATCATATTCTCTTTCCTCTTATCACATGTCATTTTGTGGTTATTTTAAATTAATTTTTTTTACATGTCATTTTATGGTTTTTTCTGTTTTGTTAAATTCTACATAGTATTTAAATATAATAATTGCAATAAATATAATAATAAATTAATATCAATTTCATTAATAAACTTACCTTCTAATTTCAAATTTTTTAAATTAAATCCCCATTAGTTTGAGTTTGGAATTCCCCTAGAGTTCATCCAAATCCCTCAAACCAAGGCTCTGATACCAAATTGTAACGACCACGGATTTTAAACCAAAATTTTTCATTTTTAATTTACCCAAAACATTGTTCAGAAACCAAACCATCAGAACACAAGTATCAAATACAAATCATCACTACAAATATTAGAGTGTCCCAAAATATCCAGTAGTAAAATCTCTAAGCGAATGTGTACAATCAAGCATTTGCTTTCCTGTGATCCTCAGAAGTACATGAAACACATTTAATCAATAATTGTAATCACAAATCTTAGTGTGTTCCCTAATATATCATATACAACACAAGACATAAAACAGTTATGGGTTATCAGCAACCCTGGAGACTACCCAAAGTCTCAATTGGCAAACAGCACGCCCCCTGGTTTATTAGCAACCTTGGAGACTACCCGAAGTCTTGTAACGCCCGTGTTTCTGGGCTTGTCGTTAATAGCAATGTAATAGTCTAGGTTAACCTTGGTAACCCGTCTTGAAATGATAATGCATTATTTAAGTATTATGTGTTTTGTGCTTAATTGTGTGACTTAAATGAATTAATGATAAAAATAACCGTCATAATGAAATGTTAGATAAACCAGATATCTATGAAGTATGTGGTAGTGGTCATGATGGGGTTTCCGGATATATAAAGAATGTTGAAATCCGAGTTATAACGAAGAAGTTATGACCTGTCAAAGTTTCGCGACAGAACTGACACGACGCTGAATGACGTAAAATATGAATTTAAGATAGAGCGATATCTAGCCTTAGTGATCTAAACTAACTAAAGTCGTAGAATAAGTTACACCGAGAGCGTACATAAGAAGAACGTCAAAATCTAACTTCGTATGAGGAAGTTATGATTTTTCGAAGTTTCGACTTAGCAGTATGCAGCCCAAATCTCGAGATAGAGATCGAGTGATATTTGGCCAAAACAATCTAAACGAGAATCGAAGATCTCGTCGATAGTAGTCCAACGGTAAAAAGACAGATGAAAACGGACGTCAGATGAAGATATGATTTTCTAACGGAGTTTTCCTGTCCCGGCCTACAAAAATAATATAATAAAAGTTAAAGTCAAAATTAGCCGACGGAATCTAAACGAGAGTTGTAGAGCATAATCTCACCTACCCTTGGATATAAATAACTTCAAAAACGGAGCTCGTATGCGAAAGATATGAATTTCTGAAGTTCGGAACAAAAAAATTGAGGTTGTGTCAGAACTCATGATAGCTTCATTTTGTTTTTGTTTTTGTTTTTTGTTTTTTTTTTTTTTTTTTTTTTTGTTTTTTGTTTTTTTTTTTTTTTTTGTTGAGAAAACCCTTTGACTCAAAATTTGGTTCCCAAAGGTGTGTAGGTGGAACCGAAAGGGTAATGATATAATCCGAATGGCCTAAGTGTGGAAATGACCATGTGTGGAGCATAAAGATGTAATGTAGGCTCCTTTTCAAACTTGTGGTTTTTCAAAGATAATGAAGATGTCCAAATGTGGACTAAAAGACTCTTAAATTCTAAGAAAATCGCAAAAAGATATGGTGATGTAAAGAGACCGGATATGGATTCTACTCGGGGACAAGCACCAATGCTTCATCCTAACAGTTCAAACATGATCAAGTGTGATCCTCTCCGCGGTAGTGACCGCAAGGCTAAGAACACCCATTGCTATAGTATATCCTACAGTTGTTAGTATTGTATGCATAATTCTTCATGAAACTACCTGGCCATGATCACTTACCCCTTTAAGCTACCAGCATCTGATCCCAAGTATGAAATCCCAAACTGCAGCTAGTGGTCCCGGTTCGATGGGTGAGATAGCAACAAGATCCTGGACCAATAATGATACAATAACTATGAACCTGTTCCATGGCATCCAAGAGAGGTGAGAATAAACAGACAACAAAAATATGAATGCTAATGTCTTAAGCTAAATGTTATGCAAAAATAAAAAGTAGAAAAGAAGAAAATAAAATCTTTTTAAAAAATTAATAAAAAAAAATGAATGCAAATTAACTTAAACTAATATGTTATGCAACCTAACTAAAAATGCATGAAAAAGAGTAAAAAAAAAAGGGAAATGCCCCACCCCAAGCTTAAGAACAAGCATTGTCCTCAATGCTTAAGGAAAGGGCAGAAAGGACCTAGATCGGGGGGTCGGGCGGCGGGAAATGCCCGTGGCGATAGTGGTAGTCCCACATATCCTGGAGCTGGCTGGAAGTGGGGAGGAGGACTGCCCAATCGATCAACACGGTTTGCCACATCTAGGATGGCTCTCGAATTCTCTTGCGTTTGGGCGTCGATACGCTGCACCGTGGAGAACATTGTGGCAAATTGGTCAAAGAACGTGGGGGGGAAATATGGTGGGACTTCATGTCCCTTCCTGCTGATGCGGCTGGTCAAAATGATGTGGAGGGGCCGGGAACTGATCGTGCTGAAACATCGGCTGTTGCATCGAGGGTTGGTCAAAATGGTCTTCAGCTTCGGGCATCTCGTCGTCCTCTTCGTCATCTTCTTCCTCTTGTTCCTCTGCGTCGTCACCCTCATCATCACCGAATTCTGGGAATACACCTGCTTGGGTCAATTGATCTGGAGGGAGCCAAGTGTCGGGGTCGCCTGCATCGAATGAGGAACCGATCCAACTTGGCAGGATGTAAACCGGGGCTTTGTCAGCGTCTAACCAACTGTACGTGCGGGCTCCCCGATCGAGCAACATCTCCATCCGGATGAGAGTGTCACAATCTAGCAGGAAGTTCGGTGGGGTGTCGACAGGTATGTACTCGGGATCCGGAAAGTCTAGGCCGACGGCTCGACCTATGATCGTGATAAGTCCCCCGATGAAAATTTCCCCTGAGGAACGTTGGCGTATGGAGTCACATTTGTCCAAAAAGAAGCCTGAAAAACTGAGGGAGAGTGCATGCCTCATGCTTCGGAGGAAAAATAGCTCACATCTGTTGATTTGACCGGGCTCGAGACGCCCGAAGATACTCGTCGTAAGGACTCGGTGAGCAATTCGCCAACAGGGGTGCACGATGTGCTTGGCTCGCTGTCGGCTTGGGTTGAAGGTTGGGAGACCGGAAATTTGCATCCAGAAGTTTGCATCAGGGCAACGCAGAAAATCTTGGTACTCTTGACTTTGGGGCTGATGCGGAA